GGTAAGTTCATTTGTTGCACAATTCGTTACAGTCTATTTTGTGGATAAAATGAGTATTCTCCACATAGTAAATTACAGTGTGTGCATGTATTTTGAGTCTTGCGATCTTTATTTCCGATCAGTTTACAGGCCTGTAAATGGCCGAAAACATTTATTGTGATTAAAGTTATTCCAAGCTGATCTCTTTCTCAGTGCCAATAATTGTGGTGTAGAGTAATTTTCACCAAACGAGACTCTGGCAGCTATAGCACTACCAGAAATCATGAAGCAATCACCCTCTCATACAGGAGATCATTGCTGACTGTTGTAAATTGGTGCTTCAATAAACTGTCATAAATTAATTAATTCAATTGCGTAATTAAGTTATTCCCTTTTCTCTCCTAAGCGAAGCAGATTTATTCTTATCTCTATATATCAACCCTAACATTGAACGTAAGACTGTATAAAAAGTGTTCGAGTTATATGGCGCATCTGAACTCGTCTGTCAAAAATTTGGCGCATGGTATGCAAAAGGTTGGCCTCCCCTGCTCTAAAAGAAAACCTGAGTGTAGCCACTAATTGAGTGCCACCACAAATAGCTAAGTGTAGAAGTTAGTGCGAAGTGGCTGTTAGTAGGAAGACTTATATCTACTTAATACTAATAAAACTGAATGTGATCGCAAATCTTAATACAACTAAACAGCTAGACAGACAGTGTGAAAAGCAAACAAACATGACGACAAATGAGCAAGGCCCCAAAATTTTTTTATTTATTTTAATTATTATTTTTTTTTTTTTTAAATGTTAACTTACTCACTAACTAAACTAACCTACCATAACCTAGGATGAACCTAACCAGATGACTAAAGCTAACAAACCCTAGCCTATCATAACCTAATAGGAAACCAAGCTAAGAGTCCCTAATTTAACACAACTAGGACTAACCAAATTTAGACTGAAAAAGAAGACAGAAAATAAGAATTAAAATACAAAGTTGAAAGGCAGCTATGTACCGACAGTTGAAACAAAACAAGGGAAAGCTAATTGCCATCTGTGTCCATGGAGTGAATGCTCTCAAGAGTCCCACTAAGGGATATGAATGCGAGTAGATGATGGAACATTGTATGCGTGTGAATGAATTGGTGCGGGTTGCAAGGCCAGTTGTACCCTTCAAGAATAGCAGCTCTCATTAAACTATCCCTAATGTGATTGTACCTATTGCAGTGAAAAACTAAGTGAAGTGGTGTTTGGTCCTCCTGAACACCACAGTTGCATTGTGGATTGTTCCCAAGGTTAAATCTATGCATGTATTGCTTAAAGTTGCTGTGTCCCGTAAGTAGCTGAATGAGGCTGAATGGCAAAGAATTGCAGTAGTGTCAACCTTGGGGATGAAAGTGTAGGTGAGCCAGTGGTGTCACAGTCCCAGCTGTCTTGCCAGAGAATGAAGATCTGCTTCTTGATATGATTGTTGATGTACAAAGTAGGAATGTAACTGAAAGTACTAGTGACTGAAGACTTTGCAGCTTGTTTGGCAAGATGGTCAGTGGTCTTGTTGCTGAGTGAGAACCCCCACATGATCTGGGACCCATTGGAAATCTATTCTAATGTTGTTTAAGTGTCTGAGAATGTGGTGTATGAGATGGATGAGTTTTAAGCAGCTATCAGACTTTGCAATCCTGTGTAAAGCTAACCTACTGTCAGAATAAATGCAATAGTGTAAGTAGTCTCTTTTGTCCTTCTTATGCCTAATTTGAATTAAGCTCATATATTGATAAATAGCTAAACTAATGTGAAATAAGCTCATATGAATATCTACACAAGTACACTTAGATATGCAGAGAATAAAGGTATGGGGAGGTGGAGAAATGTGGTTAATCAGAATTATTTATCAGCTTATACAAGATGATCCAAATTCCAGGTAACCCAAGGGTGGGGGAGTTGCATGTGCACAATAGTATGGTGAAGAGGGACTCCCAAATGAGCACCAGACCCCTTTCACTACAGCGCCTAAGCAACACAGTACGGTTTTAAAGCGGGATGCGATGATGCTGTAAAACCATCTTGGAAAACTCTGTGTCACACTTTCCCACTGCCACAGAGTGTTGGTGTTCAGACAATCGAGTAGACAGCATCCTGGTGATAGCTCCTATGTAGAAAGTGTGTCTCAGTAGTTGTCTTCGCTAAAATCTTGAGCATTTCAAGACCAGAATTGCATCCCTATCATTGCACAAGAGTCACTGTAGACTTGGGCATGGAGTGATGTGTAAGAACAAGGCATTTTGACTAAAAATATGGCAAATACAGGCAGACAGGCAACCACAAAATGGTAAAGCAGGATGGACTACTGTCTACTCCCTTGGGTTCTGTAAAGTAGTGGAGGGGAAGATCAACCTCTTAACCCTGTTTAGGATGTGCTTGTACTTAGTGGTACCATAGCCTGCTGCATACACTGTTGAATGGATGGCATCAAGCTCAAAGTTGGTAATAAGTTGGGTGGTGGGTATTAAAAAGCCCTTCTTATAAGGGGAGCTATGGCCTTATTGTCATACTGCTGGGGTTGAAGCACTGTGAGGGATTATAGGGGGAATACTGCCAAATTTGTGAAACATAGAGAAAACCAATCCCCCTGGGACTTGGAAAAGGGTCTGGTGCTCATTTGGGAGTCCCTCTTCATCACACTATTGTTCCCATGCTACTCCCCTACCCTTGAGTTACTTGGAATTTGGATCAGCTTGTATAAGCTGTTAAATAATTCTAATTAACTGCATTCCTCCACCTCCTTACACCTTCCATTTTCTTTGCATATGTAAGCCCATATGCATAGATGTTATGTGATTTTTAAAAATAAGTCTTTAAATATTTTTGTTCTAAAAATTTTTACATTCTATTAGGTTAATGCTCCTGTTTGTAATTTTAAAATTTGTTCGGAAAAACATTTGATTCATATTTGTGCCTGAAGATGATGATCATAACAGTGTTGAAAGCACTAAAAATGTTTAACTTATTTTTATATTGAGTTATTCTCCTCGTGTATGTACATTTGTCAGCGTGATGTCACATTTACCCTATGTATTTACATTACTTTACAAAATGTGATATGAATTTTATATTATCTATATATATAAAAATGAATGTATGTCTATCTGTCCATGCATTACGAAACCATTTACCCGATTGCCATGAAACTTTGGGAAGTTGTTTAATACACTCTTGCAAAGGTTTCTGACATAGTATATTTATCCTATGACAGATGGCATGCGTATATATGAGCACTTCAGCACGGTTAGGAGTTGAAACTTGAAATTTGGTACACAGTTAGGGTGCGTCACGAGAATGCACACTAATAACAAGGGATTTTTTGAAATTCCTTTCTGCCCCCTACGGGGAAAGGGACAGGATTAAGGCTTCAACAATGGAAGTGTTAAGAAAAAGCAATGTGCAAGATTTACAGGCGCAGATGCGGGTTTTTGCGTTAAATCGAACATAATTTTAGACCCATCTAAAAATTTTCTAATTAGTCTGGAAACAGGGGAACCTAATTCTTGCATTCTGTGAAAATGGATAAGAATGGCTGTAATGTAATAATCTTAATCTTCACTATCGTTACTTTTTGCCCAAGCAATGCCGGGCTTATCTGCTAGTTAGTTTATAACATATACTTGTTTAATTAATTGATTTTGTTACTTATCAGTTATGTAACTCTATCTACTTAAACATACAATTGGAAGATATCTACAGTGGATGATCGGTTAATGAACAGTTTGGACAGTGAACAAATCAGATAACAAAAACTTTCATGAAAGATTTTTATGTTCAGACAACGAACATTTCACAGAACAAACACAAAAAGAAGCGACATAAAACAATGAATACTGATTGGTTTCCCTTGTCTCCAGTTAACAATCTGAAACCTTTCAGAGTGCAGAAGACGCTCAACCCGATACCAATCTGATATTATTCCTCCGATCTTTGAAATTCTCCATTGTAATTCCAGCTTTTTGTTTATCTTTCTGACAAATAGTTTTTTTATAGTTTTTGCAAGACTGTTGGGCACACTATAAGTTTTGTGTCAGTTTTTATTTTCTAAAGGTGAGAGTTTGTCCTATCAGATATTTGTTAACAGTTTAACACCAAAATTTCAAATTTCATTTAGGCCTCATGTTTACATAACTCTTGTGTGCACTAGTTGATTCTGTTTCCTGAGTTTTTGTGAGAGCTTTTCTAAACTTTTTATTTCAAAAAGACATTGATAATATTATGAAACCTAAAAAGAGTGGAGTGTCAAGAACCATGCTCACCTTAGAAACCAAGCAAGAAATAATAGCCAAGGTAGAGAGTGGGCAGAAGATGGCAGTATGGCTTTGAACAGGTCTACAATAGGCACAATCTTAGCTAAGAAAGATATAATCAAGAACACTCGAGCATCTAAAGGAGTAACGAAAATCACATCTGAGAAACAAAGATGTACAGTACCATCTATGAAAAAATGGAGAGATTGCTTTTAGTATCTTATTACATGTAAATAAACATAGAAAGTATATAATTTTTTTATTTATTTTTGGGGGTTTCCACAACGAATTAATCAAATTTCCATAAAAATTACGGTAAATCGATAATCGGTTAAAGAACAATTTGGATAGTGAACAAAGTCTTGGAATGGATTATGTTTGTTAACCAATCACCCACTGTATTTTCAAAGCTTCAGACATCAACAGAAAATGAAAGTATTCAAAATTTTTATTTTATTATGTATGTTTGATTTAGTTAATGTTAAAACCTGATGCGGGTCCCTAAATGTCGCTTTTATGTTTTGAAAATATTGTGTATTCAATTGTTGCTGTTGGAAAAAGTGTGAATGGTGTGATTTATTACATATTAAGTTCCAGCTTACATATTGGAAGAGTTTACAATGACAAACTGCTATGAACCCTGTAATTTAAAAAAGTTGCTAACATTTGATTATATTTTGTGAATTGTAATTCTAGTTTGAAATGTAAAAATTTTAATATAAACTTTTTCAGATATTATTTTATTAAGCATCTACCACCACTTACACCCGAAATGAGAGCTCGATGCCCAGCTCTCCCATTAAAAACTCGTAGCAGTCCAGAATTTTCTCTAGTATTAGATTTGGTAAGTTAAAATATATCAAATAATTATGCAGATAATTGAGTGAATAATTAAATAAATTATGTATAAAGCTTTCATTATAAACTATATTTTTTATGATTAGTATTCTCAAATTGATCAAAATAGAAATAATAATAAAGCTATTTTGTAGCTGTTTAATAATACTTCTAGATATTGAAAGTTATTTCAGCAACTGAAAATTTCACACTTTAATGCAGCTCCAGCAACATAAATTTAAGTTAAAAATGTTTGTATTTATTAATTTGTTAGATCTTCCTCATTTATCAAGTACATAATGGATAAAGAACAAGCATATTTTGAATATAGAACAAATAAATTTAAAAATACAAAAAAGGATATATTTAAAATTTAAATTTAAGCCAAAATTAAAAGTAAAAATAATGAACAACTTAAGCCTGGTTTATAAATGCAGTCTTATGGTGTTTAAGATTTCAAGGAACAACAAGAAGCATTATTACTTTGATGATTCCTCTGAAATTTATTCCTTTCTAAATGAAGAAGTTACAGCTGTAGATGTAAACTTCTGCAATGTGGACACTTGAGCAATCACTTGGAAATCACTTTATGAAATACAACTTGTCAAATTTTTAATTTATTAATTGTATCTATTAATTTAATATCTATTCATTATTTTTACTTGTAATTTTATTCTGAAATTTAAAAAAAACAACATAAAAAAAAATTTATTTGTTCTGTTTTATTTAAAATTAGCTTGATCTATATCAGTGGTTCCCAATTAGTGGTACGCGTACCCCCAGGGGTACGCGCGGCAATCTAAAATTGGTCGATTTAAAATTTAAATGCATGAGATGAAGCAACCAAAAGAATAATGGGTGGACCATCAAAAATTCGGCAATTTACAACACGATGTCGAATGCACAAATTTGTTTATTTATAACTAAAAATATTCTCGAAATTTCATCAAAAAAATGCATTTGTGACAATACCTAAATGAAATTCTTAAGCAAGAAACAAAAATTGTACAATTAACACAATTTGTGTTAATTGTACAATTATCATTATCATCTTGTCAGCGAAGCGGCAATAAAATATTAACTACCATTTTGCACAACATACCTCTGCAAGCGCGGATTTTCGGCCAAGACAAACATGAAAACTAAACATCGTCATCGGCTTCGACTCGAAGATGACTTGAGACTGAAGCTGACCAAAAAGCAACCATATTTTACAAAGTCATGCAAAGAAAATCGTGCACATTTGTCGCATCAAAATTAAATAACCTTATGTTATTTTCATTATTATTAGAATTGTATTTTAAAGGTAATAAATGTAAGAAAAACTTATTCTATTTATTACTAGCTATCTACCCACAGCTTTGCCCGCATTATATCGAATTTTCTCGTGGGAGTAAGATATTTTCTCGCAGTAAAATGTAGCCTATGTCCATCTCCAACATGTAAGCTATCTGTGCCAAATTTTATTAAAACCTGTTTAGCAGTTTAGACGTGAAAAGGTGACAGACAGAATTGCCTTCAAATTTATAATATTAGTATGGATTAATATGGATTTCTGCTTTAAGGGGTACGCGAGTTTTAGCTCTTTATTGAAGTGGTACACAGGAAAAACTAATTGGGAACCACTGATCTATATGTATTTGAGAACTGAGGAAAGCCCATCAAATTAGGTTGAAAATGGCTTAGTTTAAAGCAACTCCAGCAACATAAGTTTAATAAAGTGTGAAATTTTTAGTTTTTGTCGCATTTCTTCCAGTTTAAGTATAATTCAGTTATTTAAATAACTGAAAATTAATTACTGTAAAAGTCCAGAAAGTTAAAAATTTGAGAAAATTTTATAAAATATAACTATTAGTATACTTTTAATTTTTATATATAGTATGATGGTTGACTGATAGAGACAATTATTTCTTATCAGAAAATCTACAAAATGCATGTGAATGATGAAATATTTATATTACTCCTCATTGTACAGGATGTTAGGATTGTGATTGATACATTTTGAAAGGTGTAATATATGTTAATAAATTAAAATAATTAAACATTAAATTTAATGTATACGTGTGGGAGGTGGCAACATGGGTTGAATGTATGGTGGCAGGAAATGAGACCACCATGTTTAGAGCTCCAGAGAACCAGTGAGATGTACCAGTGTTCAGTTGTATGTGAATAGAGTTGTTTGTGTTACCTGATCAGTATTACCATATTACTAAATCATTTATAATACATGGTTGCAGCATAAAGGATTATGTATCACATTGTAGTGCCAGAAGTGTTTAATTTTCATCCTGAAGATTGAAGAGCATGGATAGGGCAATTTGAATGATTTTGAACTGCATCTGGACTCCATAATAAAAAAGCTGACCAGGTAAATTCTTTAATATACTTAATGGGCCAGAAAGCCAAGGAAATTTTGGCATCATTTAGTCTCTCAAAAGAGGATAGAAATGACTATTCCAAAGTTAAGGTGGCATTTGAAAAGTACTTTATCCCAACTAAAAATGTTATATACAAAAGATATAAATTCTATTCTCGGTTTCAAGAAGAAGGAGAAACAGTGGAGAACTTTGTAACTTCATTATATAGTCTCGTTAAAACATGTAATTTCCCTGCTTTGTTTCAAGATGAAATGATTAGGGACAATAGTTTGCAGCATTAGAGACAAAAAGGTTTTGGAACATTTGCAACTAGAAACAGAATGGAACTAACTCTGGAAAAAGCAATAAACACTGTGAGACATGCTGAAACAGTGAAAAAGCAGCAAGAAGCTTTTAAGAACAATATTGGGAATAACATATATGCATTAGGCAAATCTGCATGTAGGGAGAACGTATTTTCGAAGCTGGAAGCTATCGACAATTCATTTACTGGAAACAATATTTCAAATTCCTGTTATTGGTGTGGAAAACCTGTGAAACATACTAAACTAAATTGCCCTGCACGTAAGGCAGTGTGTAATAAGTGCAAAATGTAGGTCATTACACAAAGCTCTGTAAAGCTAAAGTGAGTATAAATGAAATAGAAGAACCTAACCAAAAGTCATTTGAAAGTGAGAGGATAGTGTGATAAGGAGTTAGGAGAAGAGGCAAAGGTGAAATATAAAGAATGATAGGATAGATGGTGAAAGTGGAAGAGTCATGAGCATCTGCCCCGCATTTATTGAACAAAAGGTACAAAATACAAACAGTATATAAAAATATTGTACAGTATACAATGATGAAATGGCACAAGATTGACCCAGTGAGCAAAACAAAATATAAAATACAGATTACAAGATATTGTGCATTAGGTACAATAATGTAACATAAGCATAAGATACAGAGCCAAGTGATTAAATACAAAATACGTTATAAGATACAAGTCCAAAATAGAATGCAAAATACATTATAAAACATACAGTATAAAATGCAAAAGATACAAATTACAATATAAAATACAAAATATACTTTAGGAGACAAGGTACAACATAAACTGCAATACTAAGTAAGATACAAGTACAATATAAGATGCAAATACAAAATAAAGTTTAAAATATAATTAAGTAGTTCAAAGACCTCGTATTCTATCTCGCAAGGATATACATTCATCAGGAATCTTGATTCACAATATAGACATTGGATAAATCCATTTTACCCAACCCACTTTTAAGGTCGCAGACTTGGCATTGAGGTCACCTCCTATTAGGATAGGTTTATCTTTGTATGAGTTCAGGAAGTGATGAATGTCTTCAATGGCCATCTCAATGTTAGTGGTGTCTGGAATGTAGACAGAACATATGCAAAGGTGTGTGTTATTGTTTGTAACACAGATGGTGCTAATGTATTCTGTGGTGTGTTGGGAGACAAGACAGGCGGTAATGTTTTTGTTCCTGATGATAATACTAGCCTTGATGCGATAGCCAGGGTCCTGAGCTGGATAGACTTTCCAGCATTAAACCTGACTATCATGTTGTTAATAGTGTAGGGCTCTTGGATCATGATGATGTCTGTATTGTATGCAGTACATTCGAAGTGTGAATGAGGAGAGAGCAGGCAGCTTTGCATTTCTGTGCATTAATCTGTATTATTTTATAGCTGCCTGTGTTCATATTGTGAAGGGGTGTATTATTCATAGCTAACCCTACTGGCAGCTTGTGTTTTCATGCATTTGATTATGGGGCACTGTTGAGAGAATGCATTATGCGCGATCTTATGTTTGCTCTCTTCTGGTAGTGTTACTGGCCTTCGCACAATTTAATGGAGTCCTGATGGGCAGCTCAATGTCTGGCCTGCTCTGTGAGTTGGTTGTAAGAAAAATGGAGAACACCATACTTATCAACTTTAATGAATACATAATCTTATACAAAGGATACATTGATGATGTGCTTATTGTATGGAAGAACGACACAAAGATACAATTCTTGAGCCAAATGAATTCCAACCAGCATGGTTTAAAACTGAACCTGGCTACAGATTAGTAACAATGAATTACATTTCTTGGACATTAACATTGCATTTCTGAATGGATCACTGTGCACAAAAGTGTATATAAAGCCTACTCATGATCCAATTGCATATAAACTCTCTGCCTTTAGGACTGTAATCAGAAGAGCATTTCTGTATTGCTCTAACATGATAGATATGATAGAAGAGCTGAATAGAATTAAAGAAGTGGCAAAAGTGTTGGGATTTGGAGCAAGAACAGCAGAATGCCTAATTGCTGCATACAATGATCCTAGGAAAGGCAAAAAGAAAAAACCTGATGGATGCACCAATATCACGAAGTTTACATATAATAAACATCTATCCACAGTTATGAAAGAAATTGCAAATCACAAAAGCACTAATATTGTATACAAAAGAGCTCCAACCTTGTATACGTTACTCAGAAACAACAAAGAAAACCTTAAAGAGAAAGAACAACCAGGAGTGTATGCAATACCGTACATGAACGACCAATTGGGAATAGACAAAGAATATATAGGAGTTACAAATAGAAACCTGAATGTAAGGGTGAAAGAGCATAAGT